ATGTAGAAAAAAACATGTATTAGTCCAAACATGTACTACATATGATGACTAGCATCAATCATCAACATAAACATATCATAAGCATTAGTCAACAACATAAGACAATCTATAAATATAAGAGATAACAACATGGTCATAATAATGCACATAAGTCATCATACTATAAGAGGAATACTTCTATATAATCACCTCTATTCATACATATCAAGGAAGGCAATATAAACAATTGTCTAAGCTAATCATACATCATAACAAGTAAATCTCAAATTAGAACATAGTTATGATACTTCCTTGAAGTAACCTTGTTCGTCATAAACATGTTATTTCAATTAGGGAGTTGTTCATCTTTAGATAAATTTACTATTCATGGAATATTAATTCTTTACTAATCGAATACAAGTTATGACACATGAATGGTTACGATTTACAAATTCAAAGTCATCAAGGAAAGCACCACATTATGCTAAACCAAGTTACCATGGAAACCACCTTACTTATGCAAGTCTTAACTACTAAAGGAAGGGGACTATTGATCAATCCAAGCTACCAATGATATGGTGGGGCTTCACCAAGTCAAAATACCATGAAAAGCAATCTATTGTGCTAGTTCAAGCTAACCATTGGAATCAAGTTTGAAAGGGACCCATGATTTTTGAGTCTAATACTAACAATTGGGGATTTCTATCTTTTGAAATTTAATTTTGAAGGAACTCCATGGATGAGACATGTACTTGATGAAAGCTATCATACCTTGATAACAAATCTCACAATTGCTTGAGGAATGGAGACTTGATATTGACCATAGCTCCAACTCTTTCTTTTTCTTCTTCAATTTCTAGAGAGAGAAATATTTGAGAGGATGAACGTTGTGATTCTTTTGGGACTTTAGAAATAATGTCTTGAATGGTGAGTTTTAAGTGTTAAAATCACTTATTAGGGTCCTAGGCATAGGAAAAACAACCTCACTTTAATCTAACTTATACTGAAATTACTCAAAATGGCCCTCACTTGGCAGCCTACTGCCTATGTCTCACGAAAAGGACCACGAGTCGTGGTCCTCACCATTGGTCGTGGTCTTTGGACCAAGATCTGTTCCACCTTTTCTTGGTATCCATGAATGGAGGCATCACCACGAGCCTTCTATCGAGTAGTGGTCATCACCACGGGCCTTGAAGTGGCTCGTGAATGTGAGACAACATTGGGCAACCATGGGGAGCTGCCTAGTAACCACGGACCACACCACGGGTCTTAGTCCCCACTACAAGTCGTGGTAGTGGTCATGAAGATGGGGGCAGTTCTTGGAACTCTTGGATAGCCTTGGTCATTTTCCTTGGCTCTTGCCCCTAGTTCTTGGCTTGTTTCCCTCATACTTAGCCCTAGTTATCCAACTAGAATATGGGTTGTTACAACTAGCTTCTTCTTTTTCAAATTTTCATCCTTCAATAGTTGTTTTCTTATTCGACATTCATCAATATTATTTTTTATTTTTAAAAAAGCATACATATTTTTTGTCTTCGAACCCTCTCTCTCTCCTAAAAATCTGCCCCTTGGAGAATATTATTTTTTTAAAGTTATTTTTTTTCTTAACAACTCAAATGTAAAACGAAGATTGTGTAAGAAAATTGATAAATCCATATTTTTTGCATCATACCCTCGACGTGGCCGGCACCCAATGACCATTTCCGGTCTTGGCCGAACCCTTGTCCTGGCTTACTTAATTCAACGGAAGACTTAAACACAAGATATAACTCAATGAAATAGATTAAAGGTAATATTAGCCAAAGTGGCAACCCAAGTCTTAGTGGATTACGAGTGAAAAGAAAAGACTAAGAAACTAATACCATATGTCTATGAAGCCTTTTAAATAAAAAGGGACGTTGGACAAGGCCCCCAATCATCCTAAAAACTAAAAACTAAAACAATAACTAAATGATGAAGATGTCCTCCGGAATGAAGGGAGCCTTACCAACTGACTCTGAGCTGCTCACTAGATCAACGGTACACTGAATGTTGATCCTAGTTACCCGCGTCTGCATCATGACACGATGCAGGCCAACTGACATCAGCACATTGAATGTACGAGTAAGCGAATTGGAATGCTAACAACACTTAAGCTTGACAAGGAGTAAGAAGGAACACTTACTGTGGTTCTACTCAACTCATGAATAACTAACTCATTTCAATATAACGCAATTTAAAAGTAAGTGAAATATAAAAAAAATATGTGAAGACATGTTGTAAACTCTGAATGTATACATGGATACAATTAACTCTTAGATGTATGTAAAAATACAATATATTGATGTATATAAAAATACAATAACTTATATGGGAGTTTCTCTAACCGAGAACCATCACTTAAGAGCTACACTGATGTTACAACGATCTACTTGACGCTGCCAGCGCATCCTATACCCGGCCAAAGTTAAAAGACCTTAACAGCCTAATGGATCAACTAGTCTACTGTTAAAATAGTTCATCTAAAAAGTATGGGCCCTTTTCTACTAATGGTGGTTACATGGTTTATGGGGCTGTGAGTGTCTGAACTGTCCTCCATATCGTTGCTCAATACTTCTCCCGAAATATGTTGGCTCTTATGTTTAAAAACATACTGATTCTATGGTTTGAGATTAGTGCTCAAAATATTTAGCCAAAGGCAATCTTGGAAATTTTAGTTTCAATGTTTGCTTCTTTTAGAAAGCTATAACTCTTGTCTGAAAACTTGCTCTAAGCCTCCTTGGAACTCAAAGTTTCCTTACTTGTTCAAATGTAAATAAAAACATTTAAAGTATCATTGGGAATAATTAGTCCCCATATACCTTTGAACAAAAGAACTTCAACTTAACTCTTTACTTATCTTGAAACATGAGTGTTATAAACAAAGTTTAAAATGTTTAAATAAGACTCTTGACTTTAAGAACTTTACTTTAACTTACTTCTTAACTTCCTTTACTTTGATCTTAACTTTCCTCGAATTGAATTATCGATTCAAGGTTATAGTTTGAGTTCTTTAATGATTTCTAGGTGTTTAGAAATCATTTGAAGTAATTAGAATCATTGGAAGGTGTTAATGTACCTTGAAAGGACATAAAAGTACTTAACTACGAAAACTGAATGAAAAACGCAGATCCGAGTGCAGTGGTGGCGCACCACGCCAGGCCCTAGTGACTGAAGCCATCTTCTGGCGTTCTGCAGACGCGGCGCGTTGGCTTGCCCAGGTGCGTCTGGCGAATTTTTCTCTTCATTTCTCAATCTCCAGATCGTCTAAACCTCCATGGTTTCATCCCCAAACCCCTATGATCATAAATACCTTCAATACCCATCAGATTTAAACCCATAATAACATCGTAAACTACTAATCAACATCAATGGGTATTCAATCAACTCAATAAAAAGGGATTCGACAAGATTATGAAGAACTCATTTTAATCTTGTAAACGACTCCAAAACTACAGAACTGAAGCAAGATTGGTGTGCAGATGAATTAATCCAACACAAAATATCTCACATACCTTAATACGGATCACCTCCGACGAATTCCACTAGAATCCCTTGACGATCTTGGTGAAATCTTGATCTTTCTCCCTTCTTCTTCTTCTTTTCTTTTATCCCAAGCCTAAGTGTGAAAAACTTTTCTAATCTGAACTAAAACTTGTTTTACCCCAATTAAACCCTTTAAAAGAATTAGGAAATTAATGTGTAAAAAGACTAATTTGCCCTTCCCTAAATTCGGATTGGACTTTCCTTAATTGAATTACCTTACTTTCAAAAGGTGTATCTCCCTCATACGATATCGAAATTGTGAAAACTCAACGCCGTTGGAAAGGTCTTTCCAACCATAACATGAACTATCATCCTGAGCTAGAAGTTATGGGCATTTGAAAATGACCAAACCTCACTTTTTAAACTTTGAAAATTTTCCAGATTTTTTTCCTTTTCTTTCCAAAGGTGATAAATTTTAGTTTCTTAGCTTATTCTTTGCTATTACAAGTTGCAAAATGTTACACACGCACTAATATAATTCAGAATGGATTGCTTAAAATTCAAGAAAGTTTACATTCAATAATGAATTAGGTGTTGAATTTTGTGATTGATGAAGGGCGGGTGAGGTGAGAGATGAAGATGAAAGAAAATTTTTTAATATGGAAGAAGAAAGTTAAAAGGAGTGTTTCAATGGGGAAGAAAAAATTTGGAAAAGACAACAAAACAAAGAGATAACAAAATAATTCAATAATTTTTTTTTTTTAAAAAAAATGAACTCATGAATTTCATTTACTTATAAGCAAGAAATTTCACATTTTTTTTAACTTTAACTTAAAAAAACTTAGTTATATATTGCCATTAAAAAAAATGTCAATTCTATGATTTTACCATTTGATTTTTTATTGTATTTTTATTATTTCACACGCTTTGAGAAGAGTGAGTACACTCACTTTGCCACGTCATCTCTTAGTGTTGTCTTTAATCAGTTCAAAATTGTTAAGAAGAATATTTAAACGCATGTAAATTTAAAGTACTAAATCAAATTTTACTGTCAAGTTCAAGTGGAATTTGATGTATTTACTCTAAGTGTAGTATTTACACTGTGTAGTTGTGTGTATCCAAAATGCCTTAATAACTCATAATCCTTGTAGAACTCCTACTGTCCTGTACAAGATGTACTATTGTCGTGAATTCGTTATTGAAAGAAGAGAGAACTTTTTGACATAAAAAATTCTGTGAAAAATAAATACAAAAACTAATTTTTGCCCATCAACTGTGGTACCCAGTATCATATTTAATTTTGCATTTCATGATTTTTCTTCCTTTTTTATATGCAGACGTAGTCATTGAACCCCATATTCATCCTGATTTAAATTCTTAGACCTATTATACTTCAAAGTTTTGTGTCAATGAGATTTATCTCCAACAATTCTTAACTCGAAATCAAGTTTTACACAATAAAATTTCACTTTATAAGTATAAAATAATTATATATCGACTCAAACACTACTAAAGTCTAGTATTTAAAAGGTGAAATGTAGTCAAGAATCAATATATTTGTAGTAAAACTATATCGAACTTCAATATACCGAAGCAATGGTTGATAACGATAGAATACCACAATCGAACGCCGAATTAAATTCATTCTGCACTAGCAACGTCACTGCTAGTTGACAAAACTTGATCTAACATAGAATACAATGTCACAACAGATAATTGGGGGTAAAGAGAACAAAGGAAACCATTTCACACAGCTATCTCAAAAGCATATGTGAGGTGAAATAAGCTTGCCAGGGTTCATGATATTGTTGGGATCTAAAGCATCCTTTATTCTTTTCATCGTCCTCAAATTCTCAATCCCAAGTTCTTTTTCCAGATACTGAAAATACAGTGCAATAAAAGTCCGTTAACAACACATTTAGGAAATTAGGACACTGGAAATTAGTTTGGGTGAGCAAGATAAAAAGCATACAAATTGAATCCAACACCAACTTAATCAAAAGATGAAGTCAGACACATTCTATATTACCCAAGAACAAAACCTCCTTTTTTTTCAGAAGGAAACTAGAAATTGTTATAAATTGCACTGGAAATTACTATGTTTTATTTTCTTGTGAATGCCGGAAAACAAAATCAATTATTCTTGTTTTGGAAAAAAGTTTCCTCTAGCCCTGATATTACTTCGCCTTTTTTCATTGGCTTCTTCCTTTTCTTTTCTTTTTGAGGTCTAATAATGTCTACAATATCAACAGAATTTGCTTTGGTAACAAATAACTCATACAAAGTTTTTCTGGTGTACCTTGTGGATAAAGTATAGTTAACCAACATTCATCATAATCATGTTTATGTCAACAATTAACAATAACACATCAAAAAGCCAAAAAGTGTTTGAACATTTTACCTTTATTTTCCCAGTACCAACACCATGTTCTCCTGTACAGGTACCTGTTCGGCAAAAGAATGAAAATGGTAAAGACCATGCACCTGACTTTGATGAAATGGTACTTCTATAAATCGTGAAAAGAAAGGAAAATGTTTAGGCGAATCACGAATGGACAACTACAAAAGCTGCTAAAAGAAGCACACATGTTCAAATTTCGCATGCAAATGACCTGTAGGACAATTGGTGTAAGGTTTTGGGACAAATCCAAGAAACATATCAGAGGTTGAGCCAAATCCACCAGCTGCTCATTGTTCTAGTGTCTGAGATTGTCTTCTCGTAGTACTAGGGTCAAGGGTTCAAGGCTGGCATAAAGGGAAGAAAATCAAGTGGTGGAGACAAATCCAGGAACCAAATCAGTTGACTGAATGGAGGCAGAAAATCCTTATTATTGAAAAGAAGGGGGGAAAGAAGAGTGGTAGCTAAGCTTTCTCACCCCATTTAATCATGTCACTCAAACAACTTTTCTTGGAGATGCAGATTACTGGACAAGCAGACCAAGATAGATCAAAGATCAAGGGTCAGATTATGCGGCTCTTGTATTAGCTATATACTTACCCTTCCCAAACTCTAGTGCTGATGTAATGATCAGAGCATCACTCATTGCTTCTGCTCGTGTTTTCACATGGATTGAAACTTTGGAAAAGGGTTGGATATACCCCTGATCCCTCTACTATATTTTATTGTTTGAACCACTCCATTATACTTCCCATTCACATATTACCCCCCTACTGTCCATCAAAGTTCTAATATACCCCTAACATAGTAGGAGTCACACATGGCATCCTCTAATCAAAAGATCCAACCCACAAGGTAACTAACCAGTCCATCTGGATAACCCATAACCCAGTCAGAACTCCCCTTTCCTCGATTGGACTCAAAGCTTCCAGTAACCTTCAATGGAGTTTTAACTTTCTTCTACAAGTACTGATTCAAAATTGTTTGATACTCGTGTTTCAAGTGCTAAAGATCAATTTCCCTTCATATTTAAGCAATCTTTGGTTGCCATTTGAAGATTAGAACCACCAAATTTGAAACATTGGAGAACTTCCAATCGAGTCTTTCGCTCACTCTCCAGTTCAAAGCTACCCTTAGTAGCTACAGAGGCAAACCCAAGTGGAGGGTACGGGGGTTACGTGCACCCATTGATATTGGAACTTTTTGTGTATATATATATGTATACCTTAAAAGGTACATATATAACCAGGCACCCATATACACAAGACTTCATTGGGTGCACTAGTTTAGCTGCTGCTTTGCTTTGCTCTTTGACTATTGTAATGCGAGTTCGAGCCCTAATACCAGCAAACATGTTCTCTTTTTCAATTTTAGCTGATTGAGTTTTCCCAAGTTATATAGGAGAGAGTAATTCTTTTTGTTGAAAAATATTATTTTTGCTATTTCTTTTGTAAAGATATTGCACTTTAGCCTTCCTCAATCCCAAAAACTAACCCATGAGGAAAGGATTGCCCAAGCCTATATAAGTAGCAGACCATCTTTCCATTCCTCAATCAATGCAGGACTCAGACCCACTCTAACACCCCCATCATGCCCAAACCCAATGGAAGTGTGGGCCAAATGTCCTAACTAGATGGACCTGGTTCTAGTACCATGTAAAGATATGGTACCTAGGCTTAACTCAACCGCAAAAGCTAGCTCATGAGGGTATGATTTCCCATCTCCATATAAGTAGACCACCAATCCACTCCCCAACCAATGTGGGACTAACCCACTCTAACAAGTCTAATGAAAAGTGTTGTGTTACTAGAGTGCAGTTGTTTTTAATATACAAAACAATGCAATTACCTTATTGAATAATGCTTTTTTGCTTTATCCTTGTCGATAAAAGAAAGTAATTTCCCTATTGAACATACCAAAAACCTATTAAAAATCAAACAGAATAAACTAATAATAGATCAAGTTGAATCTAATCGTATCGAATACATACTCCAGTCATACTTCATGCATGTAAATGCAACATGTAGCTAAGGCACCCATTGTCTTGAAATATTGGGCCTGCCTCTGAGTAGCTAATCACAATTTTATAATCGGAAAACGGCCTAAATTACCCCTTAACTATGAGAATGGGAACAAAACTACCCTCCTACCTTTCGGACCTAAAACGCCCTTGACATTAACCTTTTGGCTCCATTTTGCCCTTACCTTTAACGGACTAAATCATAACTTCAATTACCGAATTAATTAATGACGTAACTATTTTATTGGCTACCCTAATAATTAATTAAAATAATTAAAAAAAACAAATACCCACCCAATTCACCCAAAAGCCCCACCCATTACTCAGATCTGTTAACCAAGCTTTTCATCCCCAAACCTTATAAACTGCTTAGAAGGAGCTTCTTTCTTCCTTTCCTTTTGAAGATTGCACAATAATGGCAAGACCAAGTCAAACCAGAAGAGATAGCTTCCTTCAACAAGTGGGTACGTATGTAAAGATGACAATTTTATGAAATGTGATGAAGTTGGATGCCAAAATCATTCCATGTCAGGCCAATAGGTTAGAAGAACGAAGTAGATGGTCTTCCCTAATGGCCAAATTCAAAAATCCGTAGCCTTTATAAGCCTAAAAGCATTAGCTTTACCGGCGTGCAGGCGTATTAAATTGATGTTAGTTTGAAACTTTAAATGGTATATTGATTGGGTTTAATGTAGATCCTTAAGTTTCCATATACTTAGGGTGGATTAAATCAGCTTCTGATGATAGTTAGTATGACTACATGAATTAACATGTCTTCCTTTGAAGCACTTCAATTGTTGACTGATGTCAAGCGTATGTTCATAAGGTTGTGAGATGAGGCATTGGGTTAAAAGATTTTAGCATTTTATTGGGTGGAGCGGGTGGATTTGGTCTTTTTAATTATTTTAATTAATTGTTAGGGTAGCCAATAGGATAATGACACATCATTAATGAAAATTCTAATTGAGGTTAAAGTTTAGTCCGTAAAGACGAGGGCAAAATAGAGCCAAAAGGTTGGTGTTGAGGGCGTCTTAGGCCCGAAAGGTAGAAGAAGTGTAATTTTGTATCAATCCACATAGTTGAGGGGTATTTTAGGTTTTTTTTCGTTTTATAATTGATGGTGCTAAATTCAAATGTTTTAAAGCTAATGATTAGCTCCAAATCAAGCCCCAACAAGAAAGAACCAAATTTTAAAAATTAAAATCAATTCTAAAACCCAGGTAATGTTATTCTTCAAAACTTCTATTACAAATCTTTTCTAACGCACAATACCAACTGAATTCAATCACTAATGAACAATGTGAAGATATGACACCTCGACCTAACTCAACTTGAAAAACTTGCTCATGAGGGCAGGAAGTACAAGTCCATATAAACAAACATCTGTCCATTACCCTACCAATAAACATCTGTCCATTACCCTACCAATCTGAGACTCTAACCAACTCTAAACCCCACCTTCTTTACAGCCCAACTCAATTGGAGCATGGAGTGGGAGCCTAAATGGGGATGGACCTAACTTAGATACCATACACCTAGACCTAACTAAATCCTAAAAGTTGGCTCATGAGTGAAGGATTGTCCAAGTTTATATATGTAGACCTCTAGTTCATTAGGACTCCTTACTCTAACAAACAGAAAATATTTTTAGCTTTTACTCTTGAAAAAAACACTCCAATGCAACCATCAAACATGACGTCTTTTAGTCACATCTTTATAATCCTTCATCCATGTTTTTTCTCAATGAAATGGGAGGGAGTTGAAAATCAAGCAACTGATATTTACTTCTTTCTCTTTCACTGAAATTGGACGGAGAAGTGTAAAGAGACAATTTGTGTTTATTAAGTTTGAGGGATTTAAATTGGAAGTGGGTTAAATTAATGGTCGCAGGTTATCTAGGATCGAAGAGGTCTATTTTAATTTGAGTTGGCCTTCCATTTTCAAGCCTCCGTGATGAGTTGATATTTTACCAACTTATTGGACTCAAATTCATAAATTATTGCTATGTTTTAATGTTAATTAAGGAAATTTTAGGCCCTAGTTCTCTTGTATGCAGACATTCCTTGGCAAAATCAAGTTTGGTGGATTTTGAAGCTTAAAGTTACTGAAGCACACCGGCGAGGAACTGGCGTCTTGCCAGCTAAATGCCAGCTTGACTAGGGCAAAGCATCCTCAATATTGGCGCCTCAATTGACGTGGTACAATGCTTAATTAGCATCTTGCTAATCCCAATGCAGATGCTCCTATGAGAACTCAAGGTAAAAGCAGCGAAGCGACTGACACTCTAGATAGGCATTCCGCCGGTCCAGCGCAAGCTCGAAGACGGAAGCTGAAGGTAAACACCATAATTAGAGAATTTAGTGCTTCATTTGGGAGGTGTCAAGGATAGTGTTAGAATAGGAATAAGTATTTCTTACTTAGAATAAGAATTAGAATAGGAATAAGAATAGGAATTCTAGTTGGAAAAGGTTTCCAATGTAGTGTCTATAAATAGGGTCTTCATGTAACAATTTAGATACGCAATTCAATAATATTTTCTCCAATATTTCTCACATGGTATCGAAGCAATTGTGAGAAAAAAAATTATAATTTCCCGGTAACCTAGTTGCTGTCTGGATAATTATTATTTTCCGTCACTGTTTTCATAAATTGACACCACCACTAGCTGCGAAATTTCTCGGCGAGCAAAAGCCAGTCATCCCCATCGGAAACCAGTGCTACACACACCGTCACGCGCCTCCGGTAGGATTTTCGCCGGCGAACTGTCAGCCCCACGCGCCGGCGCGTGTGACTTTTTCCAGCCAGTTTTTTCAACAATTTTTTTCTATTTGAGTCGCCTCTTCATTCCGAGGATGACTATGTAATTTTTTTTCTGATTCCGACCAGATTCGATCGCCGGAATTAGGTTTCCGGTTATTTTCAGGCTGTTTTCGACTTTTTTTTCGAGATTTGAATTTTCCGACGATCAGATCTCAATAATCAAGATTTTGTTTTGTTCTCGAGACATATTTAGCATAATGTCTTTTG